CTTACTGATCACTGGAAACATCCTCTAAATCACAGAGATCCAGTGGTTGGAAGGAGTAACCAGTTATATCCCCCATGATGTGTAGGCATATCCTTATCTGTAGGAGAGTGGTGGGTCGGTTCTTTATATTTTATTTGATTTTTGGTTTGGATTTTTGTTTTGTTGGGGAATTTTTGTTCTTTTGTTCTTATTTATTTGTTTGTTTGTTTGTTTTTGTTTTTTTTCGCAGGGAAAATGACAGTGTTGCAATATGCTTGTAAGGGTCATCTGCAAATTCATAGAATCATGGAAAGGTTTGGGTTGGAAGAGACAGTAGACATCATGTAGTTCCAACTACATGGGCAGGGAACCTTCCACTAGACCAGGCTGCTCAGAGCCCCATCCAATCTGGCCTTGAACGCTTCCAGGAATAGGGAACCCACAACATCTCTGGGTGATGTTCCATTGTCTCACCACCTTCACAGGAAAGAATTTCTTCCTAACGCCTAATAATTCCCTTCCCTCTGACAGTATGAAGCCATTCCACCTGTCCTGTCACTACATACCCTTGTGAAAAGTCCCTCTCCCAATTTCTTGTAAGTTCCCTTAAGTCCCCCTTAGTCATGAAGCCTTGATTATCAAGACATCTGCATTGCAGATCATAGCAATGTGAATAACAATGCTTAGTAATTACATAGCACTGGTACAATGTGTAGGTAAAGTTTAATCACTTAACACCCTCAAGTGTGACACCCCACCCCTTCACCGCCCCTGCACTGTGAAGGTGGAAACAAAGGAATTATTTCTGCTGCTTTGTAAGAAAGGGAGGCTGAGAGGTGAAGTGTGATAGAAGGTCAGAACGACAGCTCAGAGAGGGTTTTCCAACCATGGGCTGCTTTCCTGGGGCAGCGATAGTAGAGAAAGCCACTGTGTTTTAGTGAAATGAAAGCCAGGCAGAGATCTGCTGAACTGGCATGGGCAGTTGATCACTAAACCACTCAGCACGCTGAGGAGTATGCATAAAACAAAAAAATGAAAGGGAAAAAGCTGTAATCAGGGGTCATAGTGAAATCTGACATGACTTTGCAAGGGCATCTTCGGGTATTTGGTGTAAGGTGTTGTATGAACAGAAGGGTGTGAAACCTCTGCTTTGCATGAAGAGTCAGATGACTTCCAGGCAGCAAAATGAAAAAATGCCTTGGTTTCACTTCCTTCTGCGTTTGGACCAGATGATAATCCAGCTGTAACTATGGAGTCTCACAGAAGACCACTTCAATTCTATGCAGCACAAGATTTTTCAATCCTGTTCTGATATCTCTTTCAAAGAGATTAGGAAAAGTGTTCAGACAAAGGGCTTGTGTTAGTGTTGAGTTTTCAGTCCACGCCCCAGATATCTGCTAAAGAACACAGATAAAAAATTGCATGCTCTTAGGTCTCTTGGAAAGTGCAGTGATTTTCAGGATACCTCCTGCGTTGTTTTTTAGGATGTTGGTTCTCAGGGCAGGCAGAGCAGGGGAGCCATCTGAATCTGGGTCTTCCTCACAAACCTGAGTGTTCAGAGTTCTTGGGCAACAAGACATACACTGGGCAGTGGTGATCTGGTTCTGACTTTTGGGCAGAATGGGAAGCAAAACTGGGCTGGAATAGACACAGGACCCTCATGTTCTAATCACCTGTTGCAGGCAGTTGCCTAATTTCAAAATGATTTGGAGACACGACACTGTGTGTCAAAGGAAGAGAATATTATGTGACTAGTATGTCAATGTTAATGTGGCACCATTTATTAAAATGTAAGGGACTCAGAAAAAGGGTGCTATATTTCTGCATTAAAATACTTTTCAATGCTGCTGATGATTTACCACAGAACATTCAACACTTTGTGTGATAATTTCAATGTGGAGATTAGTAAAATGTTTGAATCTAGCCTCCCCAGGCAGGAGAGTGTACCTAAAATTCAGACCTGCACTCAGAAGGTAGCATAACAGAGATAGATGTCATGGCTTTTTTCTTTGATTTTTGCTTAATTTCTTGCCTCAGTTTATGATGAAATATTTGTAGCACTGCATTGTGGGCAAAGAACTACAGTGGGACTAGGAGACCCTGTTTGTGTTCCTAGATTTGCCTTTCTCAGAGGCTGAATGATCATGAATGATCCCATTGCTCTGTGCTTTTTTTTCTTACCTGCAAAATTGGATGCTTGGCAACACTCCCTGAAGTGTGAGGAAATTTAGTAATCAAATTAGCCAAGTAATACACCAAAACTATAACCAGTATCAACAAAATGTGAGTTGGCAAAATCCTTTTTTTCCCAATACTTTATCCTCCTGCTATTCTTAGAAGTGTAGTTAAAACGTGAGACCAAAGGGAGATCATCTGAGTGGCACAGCTTGCTGTGGATAAGATGCGTGTTTGACAAGTTTAACAGGGCAGCCTAACCCAGCACAGTCCCTCTGGGTGAATGCAGTAGAATACTCTCTCTCTTTAGAAGGCAGTATTCCTGATTTACTAGTTCACCTCCTGGAATTACCTCTCCTGCTTGGCAGGAAAACTACTGCTGTTAGTTGGGTTCAACTGAGTTGTGATTTGTTCTCAATGTATTAGGAAGACTGAGCTGGTTGAGTAAAGAATCTTTCCCAAATTCCCTTCTATGAGGTCTTCTTTTCACTCTCTCTAGGTAATTCAGCGCAAAAGCACTGTTCAAATTAGACTCTATAATGGCAAAATCTGGGCTTCATGACTCAGTCCCTCTTCCAGTTGTATGTTTCTGACTACATAAAGAGTGCCATAGGTAACAGGAATCATTTTCACTCTCCCACTTTACATGTCTTTCCAACACTTTGGAAAAGAATTGCTCTGTTGACTCATGGCCAGTCAATGAACCTCAGTGGGTGTCCCTATTTGTAAAATATCTTGATCTTCCTGTGTGTATAAGATTCCATTTATCTAATCCATACCATATCCTTGTGCTTGCTTGGCATAGCAAATCAGATGTTTCAATCAATGGGTTTGTTCAGTGTGCTGGCATTTGGGAATTCACTTTGAATTCTCAGTCCACTTTGAATTTTGGTGGGACCTCCATTTTGTCACCATCCCCAAAGCTAATTAAAAGGCATGTGAATGTGGTGTTTGGGAACATGGTTTAGCGGTGGACTCAGTAGTGCTAGGTTAGAGGTTGCACTCAATGACTGTGAGGGTCCTTTCCAAATGAAGTTATTCTAGGATTGTAATTTTTGGCACAGAATCACAGAATAAAAATGGGTTGAGTTGGAAGGGACTTTTGAATATCAGCTAGTCCAACCTCTCTGCCATGGGTGGGCATGCTAACTTTACATTTGTTTACAGTGCTTTGAAGCACCTTGAATAGCACTATTACCTTGCCTTCATGTCAACACTTCCAGTAATTAAGTCATTACTTTATCAGTTTTAACATCTTAAACTGAAACAAAGATGTGCATTGCATAATGTTACTACCTCAAGCAGATTACAGCACGAATTGTTGTGCAGTACCATGTTTGTTGTGAGATGTGTCCCATCTGTCTGTGCTGCTCTTCCCAGGGAGTTCTTGCATGCAGCTTTTGGACCTGCCATTGTTGGTGAAAATTGGCTCTTCTCCCTGAAAAATGACCATTTCCCTGGTCTAGTAGTCTAGGTTTATTTCACAGATGGACATCTTATTTCAAACAGCAAATGAAAAAGATTTGATGGTACTAGTGGTCATGAGCTGAGATGGAAGGAGCTTCTGGGAAAAGGGACAGTTTCTTCCAAGGAATATCCGAAGAGCCATGTGGGGCTGAGATGGAGAGTTCTAATCTTACCTGCTTGGAACCACTTAAATTTTTATCTGTTTCTGATGAACCACAGACATCTTCCAGTGTAGCCTGTGTGAACTGAGCCCACAAGTGCCCTCTTCCTGATTCTCTCTCTTTTCTTTCCCTATGGGCCCCTTCTTTATTTCTTTCCCCTGTAGGCTCCTATCTACCCTCCATTCATGTACTGCAGTCTAAAATGATCTGATTTATTCATAAGACTCCTCAGAATAAGCTCTTTTCCCATTATATCCATCAAAGCAGACTTTAGTTCCAATACAAAACCCCATCTATTTCCCCAGCTATCCTCAGTAGAGTGGTTTCAGAGTTCTCTATGCACGAGGAGACCACTGTGTCTGTCTTCTTCAATGGGGCTTGTTCTCATCTGCGTCCTTCTCTTTTCACATTCTACACACATTCGTGCCAGTGAAATGGCAAGTTGGGAATTTTAATCATTGCCAAGCAGAAATGAGCGTCTCAAGTACTGAACGCTCTGCTCCCATGGACAGTAGACAGGCATAGAGGAATTTAATGTGATACATTCTTGCATTCACGCTGGAATCTTGTTTGTCCTATTCTGAATCAGGAGGTGAAGAATGCAAAAGCAGCAGAAGTGCACTTTAGACCATGGAAAGGAGTGTGTTTCACAAAGGACAGCAGCAGAAGGAAGGTGTAAATCTCTAAGTGTCAGTATAGAACACCATGGCAAACTCAGTGGTTACTTTAAAAGAATACCAGAAATGAGTTTGCTGCACTGACCCTTTAACCACAAGATAAGATTTTTTTTCAGATGATGTGTAAGAATAGGTTTGAGCCACAATGCATATTCCTCAACCAGTACCGTAATTTCCCCCTTTTCCCCAACCACGTGTAAATGAAACTTCATAGTCTGCCACGTAAATGTTACCCATTGATGAACCACTGAAAATTTTTCCAGGACCATGCTTTGACAAAGACGCTTTCGAGGGATTCCCTTGATTAGCCAAAAAACGAAGGGCTCTTATCTGACACTATCTTGTCTAAATATACACAGCCTGTGACGATGAAATAAAAAAAATTCAAGACCAGGTATAAATACCACTGACAGGATGATGAAGTTCAGTCGTCTACTTGCTTCTAATAGAAGATTTAACTATTAGAAGCTGAAGCTCTCTGCTCTTAGACCTGGTCCCCCAGAACTGATCTGAGCAGTTTAACTGAACTATCATAAAGAAAATGGCTTTCCAAAACTACAGCTTGTTTGTTCTGTCTATCATCATGATTTCTTTTGGACATGTTGAAAATAGATTGAATCTTCTTCAACTTCAAAATGATATAGACAAACTGAAAGCTGATTTTGTAAGTATAATCTTCTACTGCATTTCTCTTCTCCTGCTGCTTTGCTTTACATATAGTCCAAACTTGAGCACTGCTTGACATACTCAATATGTACCAATATGTTACCAAGAGGGTAATAATGGAAATAATTTTTTGATCATACCTTTTTTAACAATAATATGGATAATTTTTTTGTTTTACTAAGTTCTTTCATTTACCTAGTTCAGTTTTTCAATAGTCATAGTTATTGTAGCAATTTGCATTTATTTTAGGGGTATTCTTTCTTTCACAATAGCTTTTTCTAGCTCAATTCAGCTTTGATTACATGGAATATCTTTTAACAAGAAATCTTAATGCAATTTATGGTGAATATATTAATCTCTATTCAGTTCTGACTAGATGCAATTTACTGACTTTTAAAATTTTATGTTAGCAATGTCAATGCCAGATTTAGTACTACATAGCAATATAAAAAAATGGAGATGAATTTTTGCTTTAACAAATGCATTGGCTACTTATTTTAAGTTGTAGCAGTGTGTTACTCAAAGGTGATTTCTGCTTCTTATTCTTTTGCATCCTCCAGTCATTTAACTTCCACATATGTGACTATGACCTGGCATAGGAATGAAAACTGGCCCAATATTCTTTCTTGTCGAATAGAATTTTGGTAACTTGATAACTGTAATGTTAATTCACCAATCTTCATCTGGGAGGCATTAAAGCAGTACACAGCTGAAATCAGCAGTGATTAGTCACAGAGACAGCAGATCTACAATAGAGTCACTTTCAATTAACAGCTTTTATTTTCAATGTATTTTTGTTGTGTTTTTTCTCCTCTAAATGCAAAGAAACAACTGCAACCGTCTGCTCCTATTTTCAGCTCTGACTTCTCTGTGATTTTATCATAATTTTGTGCAAATGACAGTTAAAATTCAGTAGTCAGAGAACCACCCTGAAGTGGTAAAGACTAGTGTGATACTTCAGTGTTTGCAGGAAACTGGCTGTAAAAGTGGCATTATGTTTTAAATTTGTCATTAGCATAGACCAGGGAGAGTCTTACTAGAATATATATAGCTCTGTGGGAGAGATCCTGAGCCATGATGAGCTTTTTGTACTGACATTAAAACTTTGCTCCATAGCAGGTGCTCCCCACCTTTCAGAAGTAGAAAAAATCAGTTTGGTAGTGTGCTCAGCATGGGGAGCCAATCAGCCTAGGAGGCTCTTGTTAGACTGCAAGTTTTCTCTTTGCACTCACTGTGTTTAAATTACTAAGCAGACAGAAGAAGGAAATAGTCAGTGTTGTATACAAAAAGGAAAAAAAAAAGCCACACAGAAAAGGAAATGATGCAGTTTGTCTTTCCTTGGTAGGAGAGTTGTATTGCTCTTTTTTTCCTAGAGCCTGTTGCCAACATCTGATGGTTAAACTCCATCCCTGGGAGCCTCTCAGTAGCCCACTAATCTTGCATATCCCCATACCTGGCTGTGGGCTACTGGGACACTCTCCAGTTTTGCAGTCATTTCCTACTAAAACCAGCTCATTCTTGTTCCATATGAGATTTTACAGAGACTGTATGAATTTAGGGCCACAGATTACAAACTGCTGGACTTTGGCTTACCAGAAAACATACCAAGATCAGATCTAATGATTTTCTGGACTCTTGCTGTGCTTATGAGCTTTTATTTTCATCTGTCAGTAGCAAAACTTACAGGGAGCATTTGGGAAAATAGATGTGCTAAACATCTCTATTCAGGAGAAGACATTGAAAAGAGGACTAATTCCATTTCTGATACCAGGCAGCCAAGAAATGGGACTTGGTGGTTAGAGAAGTGAAAGCATTGGGAAAGCATTGGGATTGCCAGATGTGCAAAAATCTGAATTTTGATGCTCATTTGAATAAACAAAACAAATTTGCCTTGTGATAAATATTGTTTATGTAATAGATATGTTTGCTCTTTTTTTCAGAACTCAAGTCATTCTGATGTAGCTGATGGCGGACCTATTTTTACGGAGAGGCTGAAAAGCTGGACAGAGGTGAGTCAAAGCCAGATATGATGAAGCATCTCAGGCACTTTTTTGGCACAAAGCAGTTCCCAGAACCAGCATAATTAGCTGCAGTAGAATGAACACGAGCAGAGTTCTCTTTGGTAGCTTGGAAATGAGACAAAAATAGAAAGCTTTATACTGCACTGTGAACTGACTCAGAGGTCCAGTCAAGCCCAGGAGCTGAGTTGCAACATCTTCTTTATCATCTTGTTTCAAGCAGCAGAGAAGCCCTGTATGCTGTGTTTTGTCTTCCTTCCTTTCTTTCCCTGTTGATGGGCACTCACAGACCTTTCTTTTTCATCATATTTTTCAACAGAGAAATGAAAAGGAGATCATCCTGAGTCAGATTATTTCCATGTACTTGGAAATGCTTGAAAGCACTGACAGGTCAAAGGATCATGTCAGGAACATAACTGAGGAGCTCTATACTCTGAAAAAAAGCCTTTCTGATGGCTCAAAGAAGATGGAAGATCTCAAGGACCTGACAAAACTTCGGGTAAGGCTCTTCCCTTGTCTCTAAAGCTTGTGGCATTATAGTTGTGATTTAAGTGTGATTTAAGCTAATAATGCTTCAGTAACCTATATGGCAATCCATATGTAGCTCAGTTCATGCTGAAAAACCAAATATTTCCAGCTGCAGGGGCTGCTGCATGTCTACAGTGTGGGGTAGTGCTGGGTCTTGCTGTGATCTGGCACAGAGCTGCTGGCAGCGCTGCCACACGGCCTGTACACCAGAGGTGCCACTGGCACAGCCCTTTGTGGCATGGAAATTGTCTGGGAAGGTTGTGCCAGGCTGTGGAATGCCCTGTGGCTCTGGGAACTCGTGCCAACCTCCTCAGCGGTCTGCAGACAATGCCCCCGTGCAGGCAGCTGCCTTTCGCTGCAGGCTGGCTCTGCTCCGCAGAGTCTGGCTGCTCTCTGGCAGGCTGCACAGCAGCACAGAAAGTGGAAAACAAAAACATGGAACACAGTCACTCTTTGCTATGGGAATTAGGTAGTAGAGAATTGGAAATTGCAGATGTGCTTCTGTTTTACACTGGCAGCAGAGTAGCCCATGTGCTGTGGACAGTAAACAATTACAGCTCCTGGCATGACTTTTCTCCATTTGTTTCTTGCTTATTACAGATGAGTGACTTGAAAGTTCAGCGCAAGGCTGTAAATGAGCTGTTCAGCGTCTTACAGAAACTGGGGGATACCTCAAGTTCTCACAAAAGGAAAAGAAGCCAGTTTCAGAGGCTGTGCAAATGCTAATTCCATCTCAGGATCTTCTGTACTGAGCTACTGTGCAAATCTTGTTGGGACAAGATTTTTTTTATTTCAATCTTTTAATTGATTTTTTATACATTTATTTATTAATATTTAAGTGTCTTAAGTAATTATTTATAAAGAAATACTAATCAAAGTATTTATACTCCCTAATATTATATAAGAAATGACTTTGTCTTAAAATCCTGTCTATTTGTTATATGTTGTTGACCTGAAAACAGAGAGTGAGGCAGTGTTTACCTAGTTTCCATATGGAAATCTTGAAATTACATTATAATGGTACCCAGCTTTCCATCTGGTGCTGTCTTGAGAGAGGGATGTTATGAGATTAGTCTCATCTATTTGGCATGGAGATACAAGCACCAGTATGGGGGAGTTACTCTATTCAGGAAAAACATATTTATGTCTGCTTACTACTAAACATATCTAAATCCAAATCAAGCGAGTAGACATGCCTAAAGATAAACAAATGTTGAAGAAAATTTCTGAACTAGAGGACTAATGGTTAATTGCTGGTTACTATTATTATTATTATTATTATTATTATTACTATTATCATTGTTATTATGCACTGAAGTTACCAGGAGAACAGTCTACTTAATATCTCAGGAGAATGTGACTAACTATATTGCACTGACTTAACTTAAACTCTCAGATTTCAAAAATTTCTGGTTTTATTTTTTTGTATTGAACCAGTTAAATGTGTCTGTTTTAATTTAATTTATTTGGAGGTAATAGTATGGAAGTTTTACCTCAAGGACTATATTTTTGCACTGGAATATTATTAAAAACTTTGGATTTTTCAATAGAGAATTTTGAAATTTGAATTTGAAATAAATAAATAAATAGATAAATTTTAAAAGTGTGTTTTCATGTTTATTCACCATCATCTATGTGAAAAATAAAACTCTAATTTTACTCTACATTTTCACAAAGATCAGTCCTACCCAGACGTATAAAATATATTTTGTTTCCTCCATATTTTTAAAGAAATATGATAGAAGAGTCTAAAATTCTCAAGTTTTTCTTGTATCTCTTTGAGAAAACGCAATTTGCTTGTGGGAAGGCACTGATCATTTGAAATTTGTTGTTACTCTGATCTAAGATAAAAGCACTCAAATTTCTCTGCACGTGAAAGCTGCGGAGCCCAGAGTGGGCTCAGCCCGTCTGCTGGGCTCTCTGCAGGTGCTGCACGCTGGGGGCTGGGGCAGCTTGGGCAGGTCTCACAGGGGTCTCAATTCTCAGGTCCTCAGGGCTCTGCCAGGCAAACTTTCTGGGGATAGACTGGCTGAACTGACTGGGAATGGGGCAGATTTTTCTCCGCGCTCCTGCCAGCATAAGACTTCTGACTGCTCCTCGAGCACTGATTGAATCCATAAAATCCAGAAATAGCACCACATCACGCCCAAAGTTTAGTTGCAGTAAGTCCCACGAGTTCAGCTGCAATTGCTGCAGCCATTCCTACTCCCGTGGGCTCAGCTGCCTCCCACTGCTCAAGATACCTTCATTCATATCCACATTTGGCAGGCACAACAAGTGACTGTGCTCCTGGAGACTCCAACTGATTCTGAAGGAAACAGCTGTTCTTGTTTACACTCATCACAGACATGCACGGGAGATGCAAGTGAAATTTCTCCTGTAGGATTTCTCCAGTTCCAGGACTAAGCATGAGAATTCTCAGTAAGAATTCAACATAGACAATGTATCCTTCAGTGCTCATGCTCTTTCATGAGGTATTAATGGAGACTAACTCTCCTTTGAGGATACACAGCCAGGCACAGCAAGTTCTACTGAAAAAAAAAAAAAAAACTACAAAAAAGAAAAAAATCCAAAACCAAAGAAGAAGGAAAATGAAAAAGAAATTAAAGAAAAGGAAGAAGAGAAGAGAAGAGAAGAGAAGAGAAGAGAAGAGAAGAGAAGAGAAGAGAAAAGAAGAGAAGAGAAGAGAAGAGAAGAGAAGAGAAGAGAAGAGAAGAGAAGAGAAGAGAAGAGAAGAGAAGAGAAAAAATGAAAAACTTAACAGAAGGGTTAAAGTTTCATTAGTCATTGGCAGGGATACAGTGTGTTTCCCCACTACTCCTGAGTGAATTAATACCCTATTTATTTAATTTAAAGCCAAGACTGGTTAGAAACTACTTTATTAGACTATAAAGTGAAAAATCTGCAGTCCTTCTACACCCTGCTGTATGGTTCCATGGTAATAAAATTAAGGCAATTGCATCCAGTAGAAATAACTTTTACCAATCCTACCTGCTTTAGCTGTGTGTACCCAACCCTGTGCTCTGCTGTCCCCTGCATTCCTGAAGTTATCACATTAAATTTCACTCAAAACAGCAAGAGTTTTGTCAGGAGGCTTTGCTCAGTCACAAAATTTTCTGTGTTCTTCTCATCCTTGTGTGGGGTAGCAGGGAAGTAGTGAAGGAATGAGCAGTGCAGAGATGGAGTAGCAGCTGTCACTGCTGACAAAATGCATTCGTATATTCTCATTTCAGTAGTTTGAGGATTTGTTTTTTTGTTTGTTTATTTAATTGATTTGTTGCATTTTTTCTTCTTATTTTTTTTTCCCTCCAAAGTATCTTTTCCTCAAAGTATCTGACACCAGACATTGCAGAGATTCAGAGGAGCTACCACAACTATCTAACCATTTAAAGAAATCTAAACAATGTTTCTCATATTGACCTGGCTTTTCCGTGTTCAGCGTAAGTCTGTGCAACTTCTACAGGGTGCTTAAGATAAACTGCTGAACATTCCTCACTTTGTTCTGTTACTGTGATAATAGTGCTAGAGAAGAATATAATAAAAATCAGCCTCTACAAAGCCATTTTTTCCATCCCATCCCATCCCATCCCATCCCATCCCATCCCATCCCATGCCTTTTTTGTATGGTGTATAATTGTACACTATACAAATTAGGTGAATCACTTTTAACATGAAAACCTGTCATGTCTTTTCTGACATTCACAGGAGTCCTGGATCTACTTTTCTATGTCATTCCTCACAATATCCAAGTGAGGAGGGCACTTCCAGCTAAGCTAAATGTAAGGGTAAAATGAATTTTAATGTCTACCACAGATATTTCTATAGAAATACATAGCAGAAGCTTTGAACATTTTTGACTGAAGGTCAGTGCAATTTCTTCCACCTACAGGATCTGAGAGTGCTAATAAATGTGCATGCTTGGGTGTGAAAAGATATAATCTACTACTTAGTAGTTAAAATTAGAAAGAGAAAAAGTCAAAAGGAAAGACAATTGTCTGAAGAATCTCACTTTGTTTTATGCATCACTTCCGTAGCACATTAATTCTGTCCTTGCTCTCTATTCCTGCATACTACTAGCCCTGATTTTTATCTGCTATTTTATCACCTTATCACTCTGTATTTTGTAGTCCTTCAATAGTTTTCTGGAGCTGGACCTCCACACTGTGTCCTGCATAACTTAGTACATCAGCAAGCTCAGTTATGAATATTGCTAGCTTACTATGTCATCAAACTTAATTGTGAATATGCATGACAAAGTTAACACGAATAACCTACTACATCAGCAAGCTTAATTCTCAACTCCCTTTCTCAAACTGCTGATGGCTACATTTTAAAACATGGTATTACTAAGGTTGGAAAAGACCTCTAGGACCATAGAGTCCAGCTGTTAATGCCACACCGTTGTGTTCACCCCTAAACCGTTTCCCCAAATGTCACATCCACGTGCCTTTGGAATACTTACAGAGGTGGTGATCCTAGCACTTCCTTGTGCAGCCTATTCCAATGCATGACCAACAGCACAGGCCCCAAGCAGCCCTCTCATGACTGAACCCACTTAACTGCAAAAACCATTCACAGATTCCTGCTCCTTTTTTCTTATATTCTAACCATTTGCATTTTTATATAAGGAGTTTCTCATCATGTAGTAGCTCAACTTCTTTGGTAGCTTTACAGTGAAACTCATCAGGGATTCTTTTGAAGCTCAAAGACATGGCTGTATTTTGTCCTCCCCTTTTCTGTATTCCCTGACTCTTCACTAAACTCTCCTATAAACAATGTGTGGTGTATCATGTCACAAATATCACAGTATTTACTATTTCCTTTTGCACCACATTTATCCATGGGCCCACTCTGTCCTGGTACTGTGCAGAAAGGATGTCAGTTTTACCAGTTTGCAGTTTTCAGCAATTCCCTTGAGGCCTTATGGAAAATTAATATCCAAGAAGTCCACTTTGTGCATGCCTGGTGTAGGGGCAGACTCACAAGTGGGTTGGATCCTGCACACCCCAAAATCTGTAGTTCAGCTCTTTTACCCTTGAGTCCTGCAGGAGTCCCAGGTGAGGGCTGCCTACTCAAAACTGTCCTTGCCATTATCTTCCTCCACTAATCTAGGAGTGACCATGGGATTTTTTTTTTTTTTGTAAGTGGGAGGTAAAAAGAATAAAAAAGTCTTAAAAAGTCTGGAGGTGTAAAAATCCGAACTTGTCAGACAGATGTGGGATTTTCAGCCCAAAAATAGCAAATCATACAAAACCTCTCACATCTTTGTGATCTTGAGAGAGGCAGAGTGATAACAACAACTTCCACAATTCATGGGATGTATGTAGGCTGCTGAAGTGGGTGAGGATGTCACCTGCTTGAGGAGGCACAATGGCCTTGCAACAGCAAAAATGTTACTTCTGGGTGTCTTATCTAGCTGTTGGTCCCCATGCAAGATAGCAAAATAAGGCCATTGTCTTCCAGCTTCCTCTTTCATGCTTTTATTTCCACAGTTCCCTCTAGCAGTGAGCAGAGACTTCCTGGCAAGCAATAAAGAAGGTGTACGCAAAAAATCTACCTGCAGAAAAGAGTAGAGTAGCTCCTTGATGCATAGCAAAACCAGCTGTGGTCACATTATCCAGAGGGAAACAAGAGTTGAAGAGGGCTCCATTCCCCATCTCACAATGTGAGGGGGAGCCTCCTGTGCCACTCCGTGCTCACTGCTCTCACAGGCAAATGTCGTTTGTGAGATTCCCCCCTATATCCCTGGTCAAAGATGACCTTCACCTTATAAAACAGAAAGCAAAACAGTCAGGTAAATTTGGTCTCTAAATCAGCCCTGGGTTGTGAGTTTAACAAGTGACACCCAGTATTTCTTCACAGGTCGGATCGATGTTATCAAAAAGATGCAACAAAATGTATCTCTGTGCATAAACATTTCTGCAGAAAAGTATTCTTGAAAAATGTGTCATCGTATAAAATGAGCCCAAAGACAATGACACCAAAAGAAAGTCATTTCACAATTGATGATTTTATTTTATCCTGAGGCTGTTAATGTCATCAGAGGTAAGGAAATTCCCCACCAGAGTCACCCTTCTGATAGGTCCCTGAAGGACAAACCTGTTGTTAACTGGCAACTGTCCCTCTGGGGCATGCAAACTGTCCTCATTCCACTTCCATGTCTTTCTGCATTATCATCTGGTGCCCTCCTCCACAGATTTCTGGCTGCATCCTTTAAAACTGAACACATCAATGATTTATGATCTTATAAGGACAAATTTAGACATCACACTTTCACTGCATATTTAGA